AGGAGGTTCGCACGGTAGGGTCGCGTTGCTGGATAGTTTTAACATCGCGGCCACAGAAGCACCTTTTGCTTCGCAGGCGAAGCTCGGCAGCGCGCGAGTGCTGGCTGGGCATGTCCATTGGTGTGTTATTTAAGGGCATCGTGATGATCGGCGTGTACTTACACGCCGTTGAAGGCTGGTCTGATCGCAGCCTGGATATGTTGGGCTCGGTTCTCAGGCGCTGCGCCATGCTCGACATATGTGGGATGGATCGGGTTGTCCTGGGCGACTGGAACGCGGAGCCTTATGAATGGCAGCGGGGGCGGCTGGGTTCGATCAAAGGACACTTGATCTACGCGGAAGGGGCCCACTTGCAACAACTGTGATATCGGGTGACGCGTTGATTGCGCCATGGTTTGCGATAATCTCCGCGCGCTTGCTGCGAGGCGAAGTTAGCGTGGATTCTTCTGTCAAAACGCATAGTCCCGTAACGTTTGGGGCGCCGGGCACCTATGGGCAGGCTTGGGCGCAACAATTTGCGGCGCCGCTTGGGTTCGGCGCCGGGGCGCCAGCGGGGCGCGCGCGCCCCTTCGCGCAAGGGCCCGGGCTAAAGCGGCCGCGATTGTGTAGAGTGCCGCGGATCAGCGTTCTTAGCGGCGTGGGATGCAGTACTCACGGGGCTTGAACTTGACATGGCAGACGCTGTGATCTCAAGGACAGGGGTCGACAAACGCATTTCGGACGGGCTGGGCCCGTTCGCGCGCAGTGGAATCAACTTCAGTGCAAGCCACCACGCAAGGGGACTTACTTTGCGGAGACGGCCCATGTATGGAAGGTGACACGGCGATGGTGCGAGCACTTGCGGGCGGTGCAGTTTAGCATTGTGAAATGCTGTGGGCGCCCCAATTCAGCGGCGACGACGTGGCCGACCTTACAGGAACAATGCGGGCACCTGTTTAATTGAGCTGATCAAGGAGGTGACGCTCTCTCTCTCTCTCTCTCTCTCTCTCTCTCTCTCTCTCTCTCGAAAAGGTGGCGATCAGCAAGGGGTCTTGCAGCGTTTGGACCAGGGCGACGTGATTATCTCCAAGGATGGATCGTTGATTTTCCGCGTTCGATTTTTTAAAGTGCAACTGGCAGAATCATCAGTCACGGCAAGAAGAATGATGATCAGGCTATACGCGACAGCATAAACAAGTTGGATACAGTAGGCAGACCAGAGTTTTCTTTGGAGCTGGCGCTGCCCACAAGCATATGAAGGTACATGTAATGGCGGAGGTCGTTAAGGTTATGTTCTTGGCAGAGACGCACACGATGGTGGATTGTGAGTTTGAGACGTGGGGTACTCGAAGCTCAAGCTGCCATATAAGTTTCCTTGCATGGGGCCAGTAGCCAAGCATGTCCGTTGAGTTCCTGAGGCAGGTGATGCTCACAATTTCCTCCGCGTGAGTCTAAAGGGCAGACTGGGGTCGCGCCTAAACTCTGGCAGGTGAGCGATGTTGGGTTGGAGGTGCTGAGCATGCTATATTATGCTATATTCCAAATGGGATATGCTGATATTCTGGTCCAGTGATCGAATTCTCAAAATGTCGGCGCGGTTGCCAAAGCCTGACGGAGGAAGCAGACTTACTGGGTTGGTTAATTCAGGTGTTAGGGTTTGGCCGAAGGCTCGCAGTGAGATTTCAAGGCGATGGCTCAAGCAAACAGACCTTCCGTGCACCTGAGGTGCAGATGGCGCGGGTCGCTCGTCAACCGCATCCGATTTTCAACGCGGCCTTACAGCGTAAATGGCGGTGCTTACTGGTCAGCCTTCGGATTGCGGCGCTGTTAGATGCGCGGGGGGGGGTGGTGGCGGGGTGGGGTGGGGTGGGGGGGTGGGGGGGGGGGGGGGGGGGTCGAGAGCGTGTAGCCGCGGGCGTTAATGCAGCAATCAATGGAGATGAAGTTGCCAGTTTGACTTGCATGGGCGGCACTGCAGTGTCGCGTGATGCCGAGGATAGCGCGTGCGCGCGCGTCTCTGTCATATAGCTTTATCGCATCACAATGGGCCCCTGCTGGTTGCAGCCATAGCACGACGCCTCCTCGCTGCGTTAACGGCCAGCGCGCTCGGGAAGATGGGGCTCGCTGGAGCTTTTCCACGAGGTCTGGTCAGCGATGCCTCGGCGCAGTGGATCGGGCGTGATCTGGGCAAGGTGGCGCAGTTATGGAAGGCGCTTGAGGGCTTCGTGCATGATGCGCGGGAGTTATGTCTGACCGTTCAAATTCACAAGTCGGGCTTCTTTTCCACGGCCCGCGCTGGCGGCGAGGCGCTCCGTGCAGCGGCCGAATCCTGCGCCGTGCCTGAGAAGGAATGCATGCGCAATATTGGTCATGAGTTGCACGGTAAGGCGGTGCGTCGGAAGGCGGCAGCGCGACAAAAAAAGGCGCGCTTAAAGATCGGGCCATAAGAGTTTCTACCCTCGAGCAGACGGTCGGGCTCAAGATTTCTACGTTCTGGAGGTCGGGGCTTTTTCCTGCAGTGGGCTACGGATCAATGGCGAGTGGAGTTTCGGAGGTTGAGCTGCGACACCTTCGGGGCGCGGATGCAAGGATGGAAGGTTATCTTGGTGGAGGCGCAAGCATCGCATTATATTTAGCGGCGCAGAAAGACGCGCATTGCCCCAATCTTCGACGCCACCACGGCGCCGCTCTTTGCATTTCACCGGGGGATTTGGACTCAAGAGCTAAGCTTGGGGCAGACCGGGAGGGCTTGGCAGAATTTGATTGAGTGGCCCGTAGGTTGGGAATACGTTCGGGGTCCTCTTGCGGTGTGTCTTTTGTCGATGAGGCACATTAGTTGGAAGATGATATCGATGCCATTAGTAAGGGGCGATCGTGGGGGCAGCCGCTCGCTCTTGAATGTGCCAGCGACGTTCGTGAAATCGTTCATCAGATTGGGTATTCAGCGATGGAAGATTATGGAGCACCGCCCCACGGCACCTATTACTTGGGCCAGATAGATGTCTTGGACTAGGAGTCGGTGCGAAGGCCGCGACAGTCAAGTCGCCCGTTGCAGCAGGGGCGTTGCGATCGCCGTGGTCGGGGTCGTTGCGGGGCGCAAGCGAGGCTCTATGATCGCGGGAATATGCAAGACGCGAAATGCCGCGGATGCAGCAAGGATGGCGAGTGCATTGGTCACTGTTCCGTCGAGTGCCCCGCTGTGGTCGATAATCTCCTTGATGGCGAGGGCGAACGCCCCGTGCCCGGGGAAATGGTCGAGTTCACGGACGCCGTGCTAGCCCACGGCGCTAGCGCGCAGCCAGCGGTGGCTCTGGGCTCGTTCGACGTCTCAGTTGGCGCGCCGAAGATGCCTACTATTCCAGGTTTTCCTGCGGAAGGGTTGACCGCCATCTATTGGGGAACTGGAGTGAGCGGTGCTGGGGCGAACGGGTGGTGTCATTCACAGATGGGTCGGCGACGCCATCGGTGTTCCCAGAGCTTCGCAGATGCGGGCGGGCAGCGGTAGGAGTGTCCAAACATGTCGATCCGCGCCGTGTGATTTACGGGGGGCTGCCAGGGCGCAGGCAAACCATTGGGCTGGCTGAGCGACATGCGGCATTGCAAGCGGTTTTTGCTGCTGCAAGGTGGACATGGTCATGTCTGATTTACGGTCGTTAGTCAAAGGAGGCAGCAGCATGGGCGACGCTGACGAAGCAGCAGAAGCCATGCATGCTGGAGTATGGCGCAATATCCACAGCAGGAGACTAAGCGCGAGTTGTTCGTGCCGCAGTACCTGGAGTTGATGGAAGTGGGCGCCCAGGCTCGAACCCCACGTGGGTTCTTGGCAACGGATGGGCGGACTGCTTCGCTAAGAGATGGGCGAAGGAGGTCTCCGTCTGGCAGAGCTACGTGCAGTGCGTCCAGCACGCGATTGACGAAGGGCGCAGGATGTCCAGGTATCTTAGCTTGGGTCTGTCTCGGGTTTTTCAGCAAGAGCTATGGGCATGCGAACGGTTTCAGACGGTGGCGAAGGAGAAATACCAACATCTGGCAACATTGGAACACGTTTTCTACCACCACGATGGCCAGCAGATCTGGAAGTGTCGTATTTGTGGGGTCATGGCCAGGACGCAGACGCACCTGGGCAACTTGCGGTGGGGCACTCGCAGTCATTGTGTTCCGGCGTCTATGCAGCGCGCGCGCTCGCATGGACGCCTATTTCATTCAACACCGTCGAGGGCAGGCAGTTCCAGGCTTATAGACCAGATACGGCGCAGGCGGCTCTGGAAGCAGCTGGTATTGTTCTGGGTGCCAGCGCGGAGGTGGAGCAGGCACTTCAGGACGACAGCGAGATTGACCCTAGGAAGGCGGTGGACGTGTCTTCCCGACAGCTCGGGCATGCGACGGCTTGGTCGGCCAACGCGGTGATTTGTACCAAGTGTGCTTGTTACTCTGCAAGATTCGATGGCCAGGTTCTCAACCTTCAGAAAAGGTGCGCAGGGGCTGCCGTGCCGAAGGAGGGCCAGAAGACGCAGATCAAAAGCATCCGTCGGTTTCACAACACGCATGGCGAGGGACTCCTCTTCGACTAAATTTATGCAGTTGCTGGCGCATCGTTTTCCCTGGTGGTCGGCAGTTCTATTCAGCGACATTGGTATGTCTCGGCATGTACTTGTCGCTCGGCCAGTGCAGTTGGTTCTTGCTTAAATGACGTCTGTGGTGGCTACTGCATGGTGGTTGGCTGGATATCAGAGATGGCCTCGTCGTGTTCTGAGTTCGGTCCTGTATGCGTTCGGCTCGCAGCGCGCCCCTCCGATATCCGTTCACAACACCGTCGAGGGACGGTGTTGTGAACGGATATCGGAGGGGTGCGGTCGATCTCGACCGCACCTCCATGGAGGATCAAGGATCAAGCAGGAGGAGGAGCAGGAGGAGGAGAAGGATGAGGAGCAGGAGGAGGAGGAGGAGGAGCAGGAAGAGGAGGAGGAGGAGCAGCAGCAGCAGCAGGAGGAGGAATGCGCTCCGCCCATCCCCTGGCCGAGGCAGCGGCCTCCCTGGCCGACGCGACCGCGGAGGCGCCGCGGGCCGGGGCGGGCGTGCGCGCGCACCGTTGGCCGACTGAGGGTCGTCAGGGTGCACTACCGCGCGAGGCACGAGGAGGAACCTGGGAGGCAGGACTGGGGCACGCGAGGCACGCGGGGCGCCAGAGGGGGGGGGTGAGCGAGGCACGTAGGAGGCCAGCGGTCGACGGGGCTGAAGGGCGGAGGGAGGGACGGAGGGAAGGAAGGAACGAGGGGCAAGGAGGTAGGGAGGGGAGAGGAGGGGATGCGGGGGGGGGGCAGCAGGATGACGAGGTGGAGGAGGTGGAAGATGGCCGAGGATGATGACCAGGGGAAAAGGAGGGTGATGAGCAGGAGGAAAGTGAGGGAGCTGTCGCTTGCGGTTTCCTCCACTCGCGGTACCTCTGTCAACCTGCCCCGCCGCGGTTCTGAACGTTCTGGCCGCGGCAGCTTTGTTTCTCTATCCTGTTGCCATTGGGGTGTTGGATCTCTCCTCCTCCTCCTCCTCCTCCTCCTTCTCCGCCTGCCTTTCCATTCGGAAGGAGGGGGGGATTCGCTGCTCTTCCCCGCTAGCGGCTGAGCTCGAGCGGTCTGGCCTGGCGTGCGACCAGCGGGCCGTCGGGTGCCTGGCGCTGATTCGCGGACTCTTGGCGCGGGAGTCTCTCCACGCTGGAGCTAGCGGGGGAAAAGTGAACGAGGAACGAGGAGGAGGGAGGCAGGGAGGGATGGAGTCCACCATGGGCGATTCGAGGAGTAGCAGGCCATTGGTGACATGTGGGCGTTTCTATCAGCCTTCCGGTTTCCTCCTTCACAGCTGAAGCGATGGCTCTTGGCGAAGCGGCCAGCAGACTGCCGTCACAGGAGCGACATAGGCTTTGCAAGTGGAGCGAACGAGGGAGGGAGGGAAGGAGGATGGGACGCGGAGCATGGGACGAGGAGGAGGGAGGGAAAGAGGACGGGACAAGGAGGAGGAGGAGGAAGGCATGAACGAGGGAGGGACGGAGGGAGGGAGGCAGGGACGAGGAGGAAGGGAGGGAGGGAGGCATGCTCGACGGAGCCAGGGAGGGCGGGACGAGGAGGCTGGGAGGGAGCTCGCTGCTCTTCCCCACGAGCGGCTGGGCTCGCGGGACCTGGCCCGGGCAGCCCGGCGGCCTCCTCGGAAGCCTCGCGGCCTCGGCGGCTTCGATCGGCGTTCGGCGGCGTGGGCAGGCGCAGCCGGGGCCCGTCGTCGTCGTCGTCGGCGTCGTCGTCGTTGTCGTCGTCGTTGTCGTCGTCGACGTCGTGGGCGTCGGCGTCGGCGGCGTCGGCGTCGGCGTCGGCGTCGGCGTCGTCGCCTCGGCGCCCTGCGGCGGCGGCCTGCGGCGGCGGCGAGCGGCGGCGCGCGCGCGCGCAGGCGGAGCCGCCGAGGCCGCATGCCGCCGCGGCGCAGGCGGCGCCGGCGCCGGCCCCGGCAGAGGACGCGGCGGCTGTCGGCGGCGGGCGGCGTCGTCGACGACGACGACGCCGCCGCCGAGGCGTCGGGCGGCGGCGTCGGGCGGCGTCGAGGCCGGCCAAGCTGGGGGTGACGGCTGAGGTCGGAGGGAAAGAACAAAATACGGTATAAGCATAAACTTTAGGCGCTCCGCGCGGATTTCTTGGATCCGCGCTGGGCCCTCCCGGCGGCGCCTCCGTCGCCGCCCTTGGCGCGCTCCGCGCGCCAGGGAGGGGGGTCTAGCGCGGATCCGAGAAATCTGCGCGGACCCTCGAAAGTCAATGCTTGTGCCGTGTCTTGCTCCTGTAGTCGAGGGCGGCCAAGCTGGGGGTGATGACTAAGGGGGGGATGTCATAGTGGGGGGCCAAGATGTCTCCCTGGATCTCATGGCCCCTCTTCGTCTCTCAAGGCGTTCCGCGGTCCACCCCCTCGTCTGCGCACGCGCCTCGGGCCTCGGGCCATGATTGGCCCCCCCCCCCCCTCTGGGACGCCTCCCTCTTGGACGTCCCCAGGGCGGTCGGCGGCGGGCGGTGTCAAGGGCGGCCAGACGGTGCGGTGACCACACCGCGTGGTGAGTTAGTGGGGATTCGAGATTCTCTTGCGTTTTCGTTGTTTCCTGAGGGTTTCCTTGAATCGGGATGCGTTCCAGCAGCTGCGCCTCGCCGAGAGCGTTCCAGGGGTGTCTGGATCGTCCCGAACGGCCACCGGAGACCCGAATTATGGCTCGGAAGGCAGGCATTCGGAGGAGGGCCGCTTTGGTGCAGGCAGTAGGGATTCAGGGTGACCGCGCGGGTTTGGGGCTTGAGTCGTTATCCGAGGACGTCTTGAGCGACTGGGCCTCCAGGGTCCCAGAATTGTGCGATGACGGACCGTGAGGTGTGAGGTCGCTGGGGGGTCCGAGGTCACCGCACGGTCTGTCACCGTCCCGTCCCGTGACCCCAGAGGCGTCGGGGGCAGCCAAGATGGGGGTGATGACAGGGGGTTTTCTACAGTAGGTTTGCGTCGTGTCGACCAGCGGCGACCCCAGCGCGGACGTTCAAGGTTGAACGCCGCCGGCGACCCAGAATCGATCGATGTTGAACGATTGGACGTTGCGGCAGCGGCCGATCGTTCAAGGTTGAACGATCCCTGCGGTGTCAAAAACCAACGCTGGGGTCGGCACGACACGAACCTGCCGTAGGGAGCTTCGGTGTTCGAAGTTTTCTGAAGTGTTCGTCAGCGCCGGTATGTTTTCCAGCCTCGGGGATGCTTTCCAGCAGCTGCCCCTCATCGAGAGCTCTCCGGGGGTGCCCTGCAGATCGTCCCGAACGGCTTCTGGAGGCCCGAGTTGGGCCCCGAGGAGCAGGGTGAGGACTGAGAATGGCGGACACCATGGCCGAGGCCACGATCCCTGCCCGGATGTCATGACTTCTTCTCGTCGCTGCAGGTCCCTTGGCCCCCCCCCCCTGGGGCGCGCACGTGCCTCGGGGCCATGATCGGGGTAATCGGATCCGATTATTCCGATCATACAATCGGAGTCCAATACACTCGGAACCCAATACAACCGGAACCCAATACAATCGGAACCCATTATAATCGGAATCCAATACAATCGGAATCCAATACAGTCGGAATCCAATACAATCGGAATTTTATAAGCGGGCCAGAGCGGGCCTGCCTCGACGCTCCCGCGTCGGGGCAGGCCCGCTCTGGCCCGCGCCAGTCTGCCGGTGTGCAGCGGCCGCCCGTCCCGCGGCTGGGCTCGCGCCCTCGGCGAAGTTGCCCTCCCCCCCCCCCCCCCCCGCTCGTCTCCTCCTGCCCTCGCCGCCGTCGTCCGTTTTCGTGGGGTTCGGGGCCGCCCGCCCCCGGGCTCTTTTTCCGGCCGGGCGAGCAGATGCCTGCCGCGTTTGGATCCCATGTCCGACTATACGTCATAAGAGTGGCCCGATCGGTCGCACATCATGGGAGTCATGTGTGCTCTCGCAGCTCCGTCTTTACAGTGCATGAGCGTCGGTTCACGTCCGGTGATCGATGAGATAGCGCCTGTTCAGCATCGATTAGCGTCGATTCGCATCGATTTAGCGTCGACTCATTGTCGATCAGTGTCGGTTAGCGTCGATTCGCAAGAGCCACCAAGATGGTATAGGAGGCTCCCATGATTTACCGCACAGAGAGTTACCCTTCGCCGGAGTGACCTCTGGTGAGGGCCCATTGGGCTCCCCCGAGCGCCGAACTCGATGCGATATAAGCGTCTTGCGCGCTTGCGCGCTTGCGATGGTCCCCCCAAAGCCGCGCCCCAAAGGTCACTCTTTATCCAGGGTCACGCTTGCGCGTAGCCGACATGCGTTCCTGTCCTGTCCCTTATCCTGCTGCTCTTTCCCGTCGTCGTTGTCGTCGTCGCCATCGCCATTCTTACCGTCGTCGTCCTACGCCTTCCCTCGTCATGCACGGCCTCTACACCCGGCTGGAGTCGGGAGAAGCTGCGACGCAGCACGCAAGCAGGCGCGCAGCGGAGTAAAGTAACCTGGATCTAGCGGTTTGCCACGGCCAGAAGGGGATCGGCCGTAGCCGGGGCACAAGCGCAAAGGGCAGCGCAGCAGTGGAGGGCGGGTCGCGTGCAGGAAGGGAGGAGGGAAGGTGCAAGGCATTCAGGAACGGGGCCAGCCGAATGCGGGCGAAGGGGGCATGGCACACCACACAACAGGTAATGGCGATGCCGAACTCTGGTTGGTGCAGTCCCGGCCCATGCGCCAGGACCTGTACCCACCGGAGCGCCAAACGGAGGGAAGATTGCCAGAGTTTCCTCCTCCCTGCCTAGTACAAGGGAAGCGCGCCACTGGATCGCCCTGTAATTGAAAATGGGGGATGAGATTTTCGACCCCCCTCCCCTCCCCCCGCCTTAAAGGGGGGGGGTCCGAACCCCCCTTCCCCGTTTCCCCTTTTGCGCCGAACAGGGGGCCGGGGAAGGGGCCACTCCAGCTTCTCCTTTTCTGCGCCGGAGAAGGTGGGTAGGGAGTACGGAGTATAGATAGTAAGTACTTAGTAGTGAGTAGTGAGTAATTTTTAGTGAGTAGTGGGTAGTGAGTAGCGAGTACGGCTTCGGGAGTACGGAGTGGGGATTAGTGGATAGTGAATAGTGAGCGGTGACTACTGATTAGTGATCAGTGGGTAGCGAGTAGTGCGTAGTGAGTAGTAAGGAATGAGTAGTGAGAACTGAGTAGGGAGTAGTGAGTAGTGTAGTGAGTTGTGAGTGGTGAGAAGTGGCTCGTGCTTAGTGAGTAAGTAGTGAGTAGAGAGTAGTGAGTAGTGGGTCGTGGGTCGTGAGTCGTGAGTAGGGAGTAGTGAGTAGAGAGTAGGGAGTAGTGAGTAGTGAATAGTAAGTAGTTAGTAGCGTGTAGTGAGTAGTGACTAGTGACTAGTGACTAGTGACTAGAGAGTAGGTAGTAGGGAGTAGTGAGTAGGGAGGAGTGAGTAGTGGGTAGTGAATGAATGGTGCGTATTGGGTACCGGGTAGGGAGTAGCGAGTAGTGAGTAGTGAGTACCCAGTTCTGTGCAGCGAGCAGGGAGTAGCGAGTGGCGAATAGTGAGTAGTTAGTTGTGGGCAGTGAGTAGTGAGTATTGTGTTGTGATAAGTAGCTATGCGTAATGGACAGTTGTTAGTGGATAGTGGTTAGTGAGTAGTGAGTAGTGCGTAGTGAGATGCGTTTAATGGGGACAGAGTATTGAGTAGTATGTAGTGAGCAGCGAGTAGTGAGTAGTGAGTAGGGGGTAGTGAGTAGGGAGGAGTGAGTAGTGAGTAGTGGGTGGTGGGAAGTGAGTAGTGGTTTGTGCATAGCGAGTCGTGAGTGGTGAGGAGTGAGTAGTGGGAAGTGAGTAGCGAGTAGCGAGTAGTGAGTAGTGGGTAGTGAGTAGTGCGTAATGAGTCGTGCGTGCTTTTTGGGGCTAGGGTTCGGGCTTGGGTTAGGGTTTGGGGCTAGGGTCAAGTTAGCCAACTCGAACGAGCCAGGGGGCTCCGTCCACTCCCACCCGCCCCCCCGCAACATAAGAAGCAGGTGCGTCGCGTCCGACGCCTGTCGCTAATCTTATATCGTGGGCGCGAGACGTTCAACGCACGACATGAACTGCGTCGTATTCCTGCCGCGTATTGAGCAACGTCGACGAGAAACAAGACCGCGCGCGATGTACGCCGCGCCCCGCTCCGGCCTCGTCGGCGACAACATGTCCAGCGCGCGAAGTGCGTCGCGTCTCATTCCAGCCACGCGCGCCGGCGGCGAACCGCACTTGCTTGAGGCCTTATGATTTGCCGCCCGCCCAGCTCCTCAACCCGACGGGCCGCAGCGTCGACGACAAGAGAGTCCATGTTGACGAGCAGGTGACCTCACGCGATGTGCGTTGCGTTCCATTCCCGCTATGCCATTCGCAGCGCCGACGAGGACAAAGTACATGTTGGCAAGAAGAACGTCGACGTTGCGGTGTTTTTTGGCAGGTAGGACAGGGAGTCCCGCGTAGGGTTGGCCAGGCGTCCGCGCGCGATGTTCTCCGCGTCCCATTCCTGCTACACGGTTCGCAACGTCGACAACAAGAAAGTCCATGTTGTCGAGAAAAACGTTGGCATTGCGTTGTTTTTGGATAGGTAGGACGCGACCACCCGCTTAGGGTTACCCGAGCGATGTTCATTCCGTCCCATTCCTGCTACACTTTTCGACGCGTCGACGACAAGAAAGTCCACGTTGTCGAGAAAAGCGTTGACCTTGTATTGTTTTTGATCGGTAGGACGCGAACACCCGCTTAGGGTGACCCAAGCGACGCTCATTCCGTTACATTATCCTTACATTGCTCGCAACTCGACGACATGTTGGCGAGAAAAACATTGAGTTTGTATTGTTTGTTTACAGTTAGGACGGTGGGTGTGCTATCGGCTGGCTAGGTGGAGGTTTGGGGGCGTTTAATCATAGGAAGTAGGGATAAGGGTGAGGATTCGCGTTGGGTTCTGGAGCCAGGGGGCGCCGCGGCGACAAGAGGGGAAGGGGGGGGGCTCGAATTTGGCGGCCAAAGGGGGAGAGGGGGTGGGGTTGGAACCCTCCCCCCCTCTGTTGAAAAAGGGGGAGGGGGGGGGGATTTCCCGACCGACGACGGACCGTGAAGGGAAGGGGGAGGGGGGGGGTTCCCGACGACGGACCAGGAAAGGGGGGGAGGGGGGGGGTCCCCGAGGACGGATCGGGGAAAGGGGGGGGGAGGGGGGTTCCCAACAACCTGCCCGCCCCGCTGGGGACATCCAGCGGCGCGCCTTCTAATACAAGCAAATGTCGGGCACGCGGCATGGCAATTTGCGCCGTATCGCTGTTGGGTTTTGGCCGAAACCTCTGGCCCGAGGTCGAGGAACACCCGCCGATTGAAACAATCATACCGTCGGAGATCGTGGTCCCCTCCCCCCCCCCCCCCCCATCCCTCGTAGGCGACACGCCTCGCGGGTCGGGCCAGTTGGCCGCGACCCGGTGAATACGGACCGTGTTCTCGCGGATGCCCCTCGCGGAGCGTACCCGTGCGACCGCGCATCCGCGGGATCGCGCCCCAGAGTCCAGACCGCGAGGGCGCGGACATGACGTTCAAGCAGTGGCGAAGCGTCCTGGCTTGTTTATAGGCCCACCAAAAAATGTGCTAAGAACCTTGAGTGGTTTGTACGACAAGTTCTTAAAACATTTCTGGCAGTTGCTGCCTTGTCTTAACACATCGGACATACGCTCTGTAAACATTGCTTGTGTCATGAAAGCATTTTGGGGTTCTAAGATCACTTCGTGGTAGGCATACAGGATTGCCGGGACGGTCGGTCCCTGCTCAAGACATGGGCCCGTTCGCCGCTGGTGACCCTCCGCCACCCCGCCCCCCTCCGCAGGACACCGCGAAGCTGAAGCGGGATCTCGAGGCGCCGCTGGCCTCTCGGGGGGGAGGAGCTCTGCGCGGTCGGGGGCGGGCCGGGGCGGGGGTGCCGACGGACACCGCTGCCTCGCAAGGTTCGTTTTTTCCTTTCGAGGGAGAAGCGGTTTTGTAGCCCCCTGGCGATCACGACTCGAGTGCGAGTTCGACAGCAGAATAGATGTACCTCAGAGTTGTTTTTCTTTTGTCGAATCCAAAGGCGACGTCTTTAGACTCGATCGACGAGGAAATCAATTCTGGGGGTAGTCAATTCTGTCGTCGATCCCCGGCTCGAGCGACGTGCCAGGGGGGGGCAGGGGGGAGGGGGGGTCCACTCGCTCGACCGCTATACCGTAAGCGCATTTGCCCGGCAGTCCCACTTCCCTGATGGAGGGGCGGAGGAGGGCCCGGGTCACCCGCGGGGGGCGCGAAGATCATCGCGGTTCGCGTGTCGCGGTCTCGGTTGGAGCGGCTGCCCTTCTCCAAGGGGGCGGCGCGAAGGTGCGGGGGCGCGAGGGCCATCGCGCGTCGCGCCCCCGCGTGGTAGCAGAGGCCAAGGTCCCCGTCGCCACGGCAGGGGCCAGCCAGACTCATCACGAGTTCGCTCACGCCGATTTTCTGCCCCACTCCTGCCTCCTCCTCCTCGGCGCCAGCCTGGACGGGGGGAGTTGCATCGCCACCCGCTTTCTGATGCAGGGGCTCGCGCGGGTGCTTGTCCGCGGCCGAGGCTGCCGTGTCAGCGCGCCGTACCCAACGGCAACCAAGGCCGCAGCGAAACAGAGACCATCCTCCACCTCCAGCTGCCTCGGTTCCTTTTTCTTCTAGATCGCTTCTCCCTGTCGCACCCCGAGGCCAGTGAATAGGGCGGGCCGGGCTCGCCTTAACGCCGCGCACATTCGTCTTGCAGCTTTGCAAGAGCTTCACGGATTGAGGGCGGGTTGTTTTCAAACTGTGGTCCTCGCTTTAACGCCGCGCACATTTGCTTTAAACGTTTGCAAGAGTTTGGCGGGTTGAGTGCGGTTCCTTTTCAAAATGTGGCTCTCGCCTTAGCGCCGCGCGCATTCGTTGCTGTAAAGTTGCAAGTTTTTCACGAAAATCTATGACCAGCGTGCCAGAGATGGCGTTTTGAAATGATTCGCGATTAAGAGGGTGCAACAGTTTCGTTGATTCGCGGTGTTGAAGTCCCAAGAGTGCCGTTCTGGCACGATTCGGGATCGTCAAGAAGCAACAGTCAGCTTGATCCGTGGCGTTGGAATCCCGAGAACAATGCAAACGATTATGTTCCAAACGAGATCTTGCATGCTTCAGGGTCTTCAAACGGTTATGTTCCAACGAAGCACCCTCAGTGGAACTGAACCGTTGTAGGGGCTTGTGAAGAGGGAGCTTGGAGGAAGGATGTATTCCAATATCGTTAATGACTCATGGGTTTACACTGGTCCTTCACTCCCTCCTCCTCCACGTCCTCCATGACTTCCTCCCCCACCTCCTCCAGCCTCTGGTGATTCTGAGTTCACCGTCTATCTCCTCCCGCACCCTCCTCTTGCCCGCCCCTGGCATCCGCCGACCTGTTTGTAACAATCCGCGGCCCCAAGGGTCTGGACCGCCTGCCCCAGGGGTAGTTTTGCTGCCCCGGGATCTGCTTCTGATGGCCCCGAGGCCCGAAAACGGCCTCGCGAGGGCCGAAAGCGCGGCCCGCATTGCAACAATTACATCGTTGGAGATCTCTGGTAGGTGTTGATGGCGAGCAGGCTGCACGACGCCTAGCCGCCCTCGCGCGAAGCGCGAGAAAGTAGGTAAAGGTGTGGAAGAAGCCGGCCACACAAAACCTAGCCGGAGTCAAAAAACAAAGCCAGGCAGGGCGACCAGCAGCCGAGGAGGAGATTATTGGCCAGATGGCGCGGGCCTCCGCCAGCGGCCGGCCGCGGCCAGCCGGGGTCTCTCTGGGAGAGGGCCTTCCGCTCCTGCGGTGGCAGGTGGGGCTGACAGCCGGGGGGCTCTCCCGGGGGGCACGGCCGCTCGCCCAGCGCTCGAGAGAGAGCCCGAGCGGGGTCGTGGTGGTCAGCAGGAGCGGGGCACTCGAGGCAGGTCTCGCCCCCCTCCATCTCCAGGCCGCCCAGGTGGGCCTGAAGCAGGTGGGGTCGGGGGATCGCGCCGCATCGCCCAGGCGGCTCGGTGTGGAGCCCGATTGTCTCCACGCCGATGGCGCCGATGCATCGGCGATGCACTGGCGATGCGGCGGGGTCCTCCGTCCCAATTTTCTCGGACCCCACTTGGGATCGCTCTGCTCTCCCTCTTCCTCCCTCCTCGGGTTTTTCCTCCTCGTGCTCCTCCTCCTCCTCCTCCTCCTCCTCCTCCTCCGTGATGCCACCGTGAGGCTCTATAACACGTCGTTGCTGTCGACGCTGAGCTATGTTGCCAATTCTATCCTGTGCCCACTGCTATCACCCAGAGGGAGCACTACATTTTTCACAACATGCTACGCTTGCCGCCGAACGCGTTTCCCAAGGTTGACCTTCTAGCGATGGCAAACTGGTCTCCGCCGCCTGTCCTACGTTCTATACAGGTCATGTCTGTTTCGGCTGCCGCACGAGCTGCCAACCTCACGCTAATCAAAACATGGGAGCCACACTTTGAGCGCCTCCGAGACACTGCATGGCTAGAAAACACCGTGCGTAGCTTCCATCGCTGGATTGCTGGCTCGTGGTCGCCCTCATACTGGGCCCAGCCGCAAGCGATTGTGCAATACTATGATCAGCTCCGCTCCGCATCGCGTACCTCCGTTTTCACGCCGACAATAATGCGAACTGCCCACGCTGCCGCGCAGGAAGAGATGCATGCTGCCCGAACCGCAGAGCCACCACGCCGTGCTCATTTTCAGCGCGCGTTTGCAGCCTCGCTCCGCCAATCTGCCTTCGCATCCCCGTTGTTGGTCACGCTCGAGAAGCGCGTGGCCTCGTGGGGCTATCCACACTGGCTACCGACATTCTGGAGGAGCGCTGGAAGGCGCACGCTGACGTACTCGGACCAGTGAAACCTAGCTGGCGTTGGGCCACTTTCAAGACGCTGGCGGCGGGCTGGACAACTTCGTGCCGCATGCACGTATTGGATCCTCGAGGCTGCCTTTTTGGCTGCCAGGACATGCCAGATTCATTTCCCCACTACCTCGCCTGTCCTCGCCTCCTGAGCCTCCTTTGGTCCCCTGACTCGCCTCCCCTCCTCAACGCTTTAACCCGATGGGGCTTGGCCCCCCCCCCCGCTGCAAATCCCCCAGCGCCGAGCGACCTCTCGCTTCGCGAGACGGTGCGCAACATCACGCTGGCTTTCCACATTTACAACAACATGCGCGCGGCTGCGCCCGTGTCCGAAACCGCCGCGCTGGCAGCTGCCCACGCCCTGGTGCAGCGCTAACTCAATAGCGGGACGGATGGGTTGGGAGTTATGGTCAGGGAGGGATTCTCTCGCCGCTGCCTGTCATTGTGTTCGGTGGCGCTCATCGGAACAGACCCGCGTCCCCCAGGGTACCCGCGCTCCTCCTCCTCCTCCTCCTCCTCCTCCTCCTCCTCCTCCTCCTCCTCCTCCTCCTCCTCCTCCTCCTCGTAATGCTACAACGGGAATGGGCGTACGGCAGCATTTAACCGAGACGAGGCGCAGCGACCAGGTGCCGATCGCCCGCACGCGAGCGGCCCCCACGGGTCGCGGTCGCAGCGCGCCCCGTTCGCCTCCAACGAACGTCACTGGCGCATCCGCAGGGAGGATGCCGAGACGGCCGTGCGCAATAGCGGCAGTTCGGCGCCCAGCCCGGCAGGGGTGCCGTTCCGAGCCTGGCGTGCTCTGGTCCCTTTGAGGCTTTCTATGCTGTTAAACGTGGCGCGGGTCTTCGAGCGGTCGCAGGGCAGGAGGAGCTTCCAGGTACTTGCGTCGATGAGGCCCGGGACCAGCCCCACTCTTTCAGTGAGAGCACCTTGGTCTGCCTAGCGGAGAAAGCTCGAGCATCACTCCAGAGGGCGTCACGGTATGTTCCCGCCAACTAGCGGCCGCTGAATATCGCCAACGCTGAACATCGTCACGCGAGCGCTGCCCGCAACTGCTGGGAGGAACCCCTTGCGAAATGCATCCTTTCCCAATGGGTCCTTTTCATGGGTCCTTTTCGAGATGGTCCATCCCTGCCAATCGTCCTGACGGCGAAACAGAACAGCAAGCATGCTCACGTCGCTCCAGCGTGAGCGCGGAGCTTGTCCCTGCATTGACTTCGTACTGGCGTTTCCTTTGATATCCCAGGAATCCATGTGCGTTGCATTATCTTCTATGGGCGCGTGCCGGGCCGGGCCAGGAATGTCACCCACGCGCTGTATACTCGGGCTCATGCTGCACGGTCAGGGGCCAGGGTTCTTCGGATAGAAGAAGGCGGGAGGCAAGGATACCCGCTGGCCCCCCGCTTGAGCTGCTCCTGGACCGCATGGGACAGGAGTGCACCAGCATCGGCGCCACCCCAATATATTATCACTACTACGTGTGTGTGTAGATTCGACTACTACGTGTGCGTAGAACCGGAGACCAGGGAGGGGAGTAGCTGTAGATTCGACAACGGCCGGCGGTCCTGCCAGGCGGGCGCATGGCGCCTGCAGCTCGTGCCCAGGGGCGGCGGGTGCGCGGTGGCACTCTGGAGGTCCCAGCGTGCGAGCTCTTGGCGGATGCGGAGGACAGGCTGCGGGGCGTCGTGCGCGAGCAGTCCTTCTCAGAGGGATCTCGGCGCTGGAGGTCTGCCCCAGGGCGTGGTGATCAGGCTTGCCCGCTGGGTTGCGTTGGTGGCTCCATGTCGCCGATGCCTCTGTTGTTCAAGGCCTCGGTGGCGGTGCACCTGTCGTCGCGTTCGCCCTCGTCCTCTGGCCCTGACGGGTCGTTGCGGATGTCGTCGAGCGTGCAGATATGCTGTGTAAGCTACTGGAAATTGCCCTCGGGGGTGAGCGTAAGAGCGCGGGCGTGAGCACGGAGCTGCGACGCTTGGGGCAGCAAGCGGACACTCAAGCATGATGCCGATTGGCCCGAGCTTTCCTTGAGACGCCACAGGTCGTCCGTCGTCGCCCAACCCCCCAGGCCCTTTTGTGCGTTGAGAGCAGATGACTCCGGCGCCAAGGCTTCTGGAGATACAGCTTCCATCTGGCCTTTTGTAGCCCAACGTGGACACAGCGAACGTGCTGTAGGCCACGGTGTGGAAGTGCATGCCGGTGCCGTGTTTAGACCTGTCGCGACAAAATTGAGTGTACTTCTTGCTTGGGTCGCGCAACGACTGCGTGCCTTGGACCGAATCAACCATAAAGCCCAATCCCCTGCCGCAGTCTGCCACCGGCATGCAGGCCCACCCTGGCAAACGCTGATCCCGGAGAAGTCCCACCATCCCTTTGGGCGACAGGTGGTCTCACGATATTATTTCTTTCCTCTTGCAAGAATCCCTCTTCCCCTCTCCCCCTACCCCCTCCCCTGGACCTAGACGGGGGAGGTCGCGAGGTGGCAGAGGGCCCCTTTCCTGTCAAGATAGCCTCCAAGATCACTCAAGATAGCCCAACATGGCTCAAGACAACTAACAACATGTTTCCGAGAGGCCCAAAGGGGGCCAAAGACGGTTCCAGGTGCTCTCAGAGCTCCCTCGGGGCCCCCCCGAGAAGCCAAAATCTTTCACACATCATCCTGGCGAAGGAACCAACTATACGCAGTTGTGCATACCGCGTTGCGGGTACCACATTTGGTGGAGCTTTCTATGGGGCCACGAACCGTGCGAGGTGTGTCCCGAAATGGGGCGGCGGTGGCATGCGGGCCCTGCCACTGGGGCCTTCGGTGGAGCTCCCTATGGGGCTACGAAGCGTGTGAGGGCTGTGCCGAAATGGGGCGGCGGTGCCATGCGGACATTGACACTGGGGCCTTCGGTGGAGCTCCTTATGGGGCCACGAACCGTGCGAGGGGTGTGCCGACATGGGGCGGCGGTGCCATGCGGACCCTGCCACTGGGGCCTTCGGTGGAGCTCTTTATGGGGCCACGAACCGTGCGAGGGGTGGGCCGAAATGGGGCGGCGGTGCCATGCGGACCCTCCCGATGGGGCCTTCGGTGGAGCTCCCTATGGGGCCACGAACCGTGAGAGGGGTGTGCCGATATGGGGCGGCGGTGCCATGCGGGTCCTCCCGCTGGGGCCTTCGGTGGAGCTCTTTATGGGGCCACGAACCGTGCGAGGGGTGTGCCGAAATGGGGCGGCGGTGCCATGCGGACCCTCCCGCTGGGGCTTCGGTGGAGCTCCTTATGGGGCCACGACCGTGCGAGGGGTGTGCCGACATGGGGCGGCAGTGCCATGCGGACCCTCCCGCTGGGGCCTTCGGTGGAGCTCCCTATGGGGCCACGAACCGTGTGAGAGGTGTGCCGAAATGCGGCGGCGGTGCTATGCGGACCATCCCGCCGGGGCCTTCGGTGGAGCTCCCCATAGGGCCACGAACCGTGTGAGGGGTGTGCCGATAGGGCCACGAACTGTGTGAGGGGTGTGCCGAAATGAGGCGGCGGTGCCATGCGGACCCTCCCACTGGGGACTTCGGTGGAGCTCCCTATGGGGCCACGAAGCGTGTGAGGAGGAGGAGGAGGAGGAGGAGGAGGAAAGGAGAGGAGGAAAGAGACGCGGGGTGCTGTCTTTTCAAAACACCACAGCATGGTTGAGAAACATAATAAGCATACAGGCCTGACTCAACACTGGGACTCGGCGAAGAGAAAAGTGTGATGCGCCGCAGGAAGAGGCGGCAGGGACATGGTATGACGTCAAGTGTGGCGCGAGCGCACGGAGAAGACCCCTCTATTCTCCCATCTGGTCCCTCCCTTCTCTTCGCCTCCTCACTCCTTCTATTCCCGCGCGGCAGCATGTATCGCCCACCCTCTCAATCGAAGGCGTGTGCCATTTGGGTCGCATGTGTCCTCACAGGCCAGGCTAGGGGCGTGCCAAGCCATGCCGCATATGCCGCATGTGAATATACGAAGAGGGAGGGCGAAAGAGAGAGTGATAGAGAGAGAGAGATAATAAACAGAGAGAGAGAGAGAGAACGAGAGAGCGAGAGAGCGAGAAAGAGGGATAGAAAGAGAGAGAGAGAGAGGAACGGAGAGAGTGGTGGCATGGTGGTGCGGCGCCAGTCTCGCGAGAACGAACTCATGACCGTCACCATGGAGATGAGGAGAATGCAGGAGAACATGAAGATGCTGGAGGCATCCGCTGGTGCTTCTCTGCGCGCCGACGGGCACTCCCTGCTGCCTCGCGCGGGTGTTCTTCGAGGGGGCGGCGTGGGACTGAACCCTCGCTCTGTGGATGTCGTAGGGGGGCAGGGCTCGGACGTAGTCTGCTTACCTTGGGCGCACCAGGCTGCTCCACGTGCGGTCGCCCCGCACCTGCCGCACCTCGGTGGCTCCACCTCGTGGCCACCAGACGGCCAAGGGACACCTCGCGGCCGCTCGCTGGCCGCTCGGGCCGCCGCTTCGGCCTCTCGCTCGGCCCGTCTTGTGGCGAGAGGTGCCCCCTGGCGAGAGCAGGAACAGAGTCGGTGGGCCGGGGCTGCTTCGGCCCTTCTTCGACCTGGCCGTCGCAGTGTTATGACACCGGGCGTTTCCGCCCGGTGTCGGGCCTGGGCACCATCACCTGGCCCGGTGTCGCCCGATTTGGTTTGAAAAATGATGCAGAAAGACGGGGTTCGGAGCTTTGGTCGTGCCTTTGCTTGTGATGTTGCATTTGTTCTTCAGCGTCGGATCTCAGGGGGGAGGCCGCTGGTGAACGGGGGGTTCAGGCGACGAGGCGCGAGGGATAAGAGAGGCGAGCGAGGGAGGGTGCGGTGGGGTGGAGGTAGGGTGGGGGGTCGAGGAAGGGTGGAGCTGGAGAGGGAACCGCAGGGACGAGGGAGCAGGAGGGGGGGGAGAAGGGGCGAGGAGCGGAGGGGAAGCGGGGCACGCCAGGCCCCGCCGAGGGCCGACGCTTGAAGCCCGGGGGGCCCCTCGGGCGAGTCCAGCACGCCCGGGGAGGGGCGGCTCGATGCCGACGGGCTCTGCGCGGAGCGAGCGGCGGGCGGCGGGCGGCGGATGAGCAGCAGCAGAAGCAGGAGGAGGCGCAACAAAAGCAGGAGCAGCAGCCGCGGGCCACGAGCGCTGCAGCAAGCGCAGGGCGGGTGGGCATCGGCACGGAGCCGTGCTCAGGAAGCCTCCACTGCCATGGGGGGCCGTCCACCTCCCTCCCCCTCCGGCGGGAGGAGGCCCCCCCCCCCCCTCACTGGCGCGCTCTTGGGCCGCGCGGGTGTCGCAGTCCAGAGGGTGGCCTCCTGGGCCCCGCGCCCGAGAGCCTGGCCTGCTCGGGTACGGCCTCTCGAGATCCAGGTCCCCTCTCCAGGGGCTCGCCCTGTGGGGCTCGGCCTCCCTCACGTTTGGCGTCGCTGCTAAGCCTCCTGGAGGCTCTCGTCTCGTCGTCACGGCTGGACCCGCCTTGAGAAACAGGTCAAGATGCACCCCGGCTGCTGTCCGCTACCCCGTGCAGGTGGAATCGCAGCATCCAGCCCCTCTCCCGACAGGGCTGCTGGCTGTGCTGCTGCTGCTGCAATTTGACCTCGGGGAGTCTGTCGGGCAGCAGGGCCTCCAAGCGCGTCTGCCCCTTGCAACCTACGGTCCGCCCGCGCTCCCCGGGACTGTAGGCTTGGCCACTGTGGCCATACAGACGGGTTAGCTGCGAGCGCTGCGGCCATCGCTTTCACCGCCATCACCAAATTCGGATCGCAGGCGGTCGCTACGCCCACGCTCGGGGGGGCCCTGACCCAGATCCTGGAAGTGGGCGGCCGCGTCGGTTGGTCCCGGGGGCACATGGCCATGCTGTTGCTTCATCAAGTCTGCTTGTTCTGTTGGTGGGCTTGGGCCTGGGCATCTGATTCTGCAAGGCTCGTCTCCTCAACTTCGATCCTGGATTCCTGCTGCGACACTGACGGCTTTACCTCCTGGAGCTGCTTTCGCAAAACTGAAAGGTTCGATTCCTACTTCTCAATGGCCGTTATCTTGACCTTCAGACGCCGCGATGCGGCCTGGACCAGCTATGCCGGAGACTTCTGAGCATCACGGCGCGCCCGCAACTCTGTCAGCACTCCTTCCAGTGGACCAACAAGCTGTTGCGAGGTCGCATCTTCCAATCCAAGTTTCCCCATCGAGTCCACTGCTTGCTGCAATGCCTGAATAGAAGGACCAAGAGTCACTTCTTCGAGGTCTTGGGGTGGTCATTATCCCACGGCAGCTTCCCTGCTGATGTCGAGCCGCTGCCGAACGAGTGCTGGGCTTGTGTGCTCGCTCTGCCAATGCCGATTGCGCTGTCAACACCGCTCGGCCCGTATTTTTAGGGTGCGCGAGAGGGATGCAAGGGCCTTGGACGCCCATCTCGAAGCTCTCAGAGCGGGGCGCGGCCAACGACGGTTGCGAAGGGTGGACCTGGGGGGCAAGGATGCAAGAGGGTACCCTGAGGAAGGCTGCCCATCCTTGCTGTGCGGGTGGACCGTATGGCCGCGCAGCCGCGCCGCGCCCGTGAGCCCATGGCCCCGCTGGGATGGCCGTGAGCCGCGGCGGCCCCGTCGGGCGGCGGCGCCGAGCACTCCGGCCGATCGGCCAGAGCTTGGGGGGGGGGTGCCCCCTGCCGTGGCATCGCTCGGACGCGTGCGCTGTCTATCCTCGGCGATGGCCATCGAGGAGCACCTTGGAGCATCTGGCGAATAAAAGGATCGGCGGCGGACGAAGGGGGAAGTGAGAAGGAGAAGGCCTTCTCGGAAGGCGGTGGGACTTCTCGGAAGCCCTCGCGCCTTCCGAGAAGCTTCTCGTGTCTTCGAGACAAACTTCGACAACTTCTCAGGAGGCCGAGGGACTTCCAAGCCTTCTGAGAAGGCCCTCTCCTTCCCGTTTCCCCTCCCTCGCTCGCCGCCCGAAAACAGGCGCACGAAGTCGAAACATGCACATGGGGTATGGGTGTCCGGGCGATGGGCGAGCTGCGCCCTGCCCGCTGGCCGTCCTCCGCTCGTGCCCCCCTCCTCCCCGGCCTCCCGAAGAGGCGGCCCTCGGGGGGGCCGAGGTGTCGAGGAGGCACGGCGGTTGGCAGGACCACGTCGTCGGAGAGCGGCGTCGTGGAGTGCACTGGTGGTAGCCGCTCGCCTCGGTCAAGTCCCGGACTTCTCCCCGTACCCGTCATGATCTCGGCTGCCTCGGTACGCCCGTTTTGAAACGCAGCACGCGGCGTGCTCAAAATGTATGTGTCAATACGCAGCGTGTTGGTTCACCGTATTGGCCCACCTTTGGCGAACGTATCGTGTCAGACACATGTTTCCAGTCTACGTGTTGAACTTTGTATCAATGCGCCACGTGTTACGTATTGCGTATCAGGCAGTTCAGGTCATGTTTTTTCACAACGTCGACCCCGACGTCCTGATGTTATTACAACGTCGACCCCCAGAGGTCCAGATCCATTCCCTGGGAACGGTTTTTCATGTCGAGCCGTTGCTTGACGGTCCCGTGGCCTGGCGAGGCCCCCCAGAGGCCGAAGCCTGCCAAACACCTCGCGTCGTGTTTTTTTGCGGCTCGAAGGGCTCTGAAACCGTTGCCCGCCAGACGACTTCCTCGGGCCTCCACTTCTCAGCATCGTTTCACGGACCCCCCCCCACCAGACCATGGCGTCTCATCCCCACCCTCCTGCCGCTCCAGTTGGGATGGCCCTCGAAACCCGACGTGAAGGAGCCTGTATACCCACCCAGGAGATCGGGGGAGCGTAAGACCCGGGTTTGCCAGGACTCGGGTTCGCCATCGTTTTTTGACGACCGCGCCTCGGATTTTGACGAGGGGGAGTTTCGTGGGATGTCTGCAGCGGGAGGCCTCGTCAAAATGCAGGCTCGGCCTCGTCATTTTTTTGACGACCTCGTCGGGGATTTCCGAGTCTCCCGTACCCGGGTCTTACGTCTCCCCGAGGAGAGTCCGTCGGCGAGCGGGGCCCAGGCCACGCCCGTGCGGAGGGGGGGTCGGTGAAGCGCTGCTCCGCGCCCCCGCCCTCCTGGCAGGCGAGAGCCTCGGCGGCCCCGCAGCCGGACTTCGCCGCCCCGATCGAGGGCGACGGTGCCCCGTCGGGGCCCGCCGCCATGTTCGCCAGAGGAGCGCAGCGGCCCCCCGCCTCTCCGGCCGGACGAAGGGGGGGGGGGATATAGGGAAGGGGGGGGGGGTTACGAAGTTTGCTGCGTTCAGCTGGTTTCGGCCCAACCGAGGGGCCCACTCCTCGTTGCATGGCCGCCTCCCGGCGCCGAGAGGCGCCGGGAGAATCAGCCACGTGATCTGATTGTGATTCTCCCCCCCCCCCTTTGCTATCCCCCCCTTTCGCCCGGCCCGATTCTCCTCTGGTTGCGAATGGTTCGGTTGGGGTCTTCTGGCGCGCAACGGTCGTTCTCCAGCCAGACCCTCCTCCCCCCTCCCCCTCCCGCATTCCGGTGCTCGCGCGCATACCTTGGCGATCGCGGCGCGCCCCCGCTCCGACGTGGCACACCCCGCCCAGGCGATACCGTTACCCGGGGCCCCCACCCTCTCCCCACCCTTTCTGGTAATGACCGTTTCCAGAAGTCATGCAAGAAATAATCTCAGAAAGTCCATGCGTCTGGGGATCCCAGCGTTGCAACGTTTTCACACTGGGCGTGTTGAATCAGTACGCCACGCGCCCTGGGTTTCTGGAGCGCGCCAGCGGATCGCCTTTGCCTCGCTACGACGTATGAAGTTCGCCTGGTTTCGGGCCCCAGGCTCATCACAGATCAGTCTGGCTCGACAAATGCAGCAGAAAGATGGGGCCTAGGGCTCCGGTCGCGTTTTTTCGCGATATGTTTCATTTTAGGTGGTTCACAGTTTTCGGCCTCTAGGGCGTCCTCTCAGGGATTGACGTTCGATCCATACTCCTGTTGCTGCCCTCACTCTGGCTGCCAGGTGGGCAGGGCATGGATGAAAAACTTGGCCTCTAGATGCGGCTGGATTTTTACCCAGGCCCCCGCCCAGCCCCCTCGTAGAGTTCTGGCGTGAGCAGGGGCATGGATGAGATGACGATCGCCTACCCGCTGGGCTGTCAAAAAGCGACTCGGGATGAGAAGCCGGTACAGGGCAAAGAGCCGGCCCCCCTCCGATGTTTTTCCCAACCATCCTGTGGTGTTGGGTCCTCGTTTTGAAGAGACGGTGCCCCGCGTTCCTCTCCTCCTCCTCCTCCTCCTCCTCCTCCTCCTCCTCCTCGCCCTCCTCCCTCCAGGGTTCGCATGCCTCCCCACCACCCATTTTGGCACACTCTTCACACGTTTCGTGGCCCCATAGGGAGCTCCACCGAAGGCCTCAGTGGCAGGGTTCGCATGCCTCCCCACCACCCATCTCGGCACACCCCTCACACGTTTCGTGGCCCCATAGGGAGCTCCACCGAAGGCCCCAGTGGCAGGGTTCGCATGCCTCCCCACCACCCATTCTCGGCACACCCCTCACACGTTTCGTGGCCCCATAGGGAGCTCCACCGAAGGCCCCAGTGGCAGGGTTCGCATGCCTCCCCACCACCCATTCGGCACACCCCTCACACGTTTCGTGGCCCCATAGGGAGCTCCACCGAAGGCCCCAGTGGCAGGGTTCGCATGCCTCCCCACCACCCATTTCGGCACACCCCTCACACGTTTCGTGGCCCCATAGGGAGCTCCACCGAAGGCCCCAGTGGCAGGGTTCGCATGCCTCCCCACCACCCATTTCGGCACACCCCTCACACGTTTCGTGGCCCCATAGGGAGCTCCACCGAAGGCCCCAGTGGCAGGGTTCGCATGCCTCCCCACCATTCATTTCGGCACACCCCTCACACGTTTCGTGGCCCCATAGGGAGCTCCACCGAAGGCCCCAGTGGCAGGGTTCGCATGCCTCCCCACCACCCATTTCGGCACACCCCTCACACGTTTCGTGGCCCCATAGGGAGCTCCACCGAAGGCCCCAGTGGCAGGGTCCGCATGCCTCCCCACCACCCATTTCGGCACACCCCTCACACGTTTCGTGGCCCCATAGGGAGCTCCACCGAAGGCCCCAGTGGCAGGGTTCGCATGCCTCCCCACCACCCATTTCGGCACACCCCTCACACGTTTCGTGGCCCCATAGGGAGCTCCACCGAAGGCCCCAGTGGCAGGGTTCGCATGCCGCCCCCGCCCCACTTTGGCACACCCCTCACACGCTTCGTGGCCTCATAGGGAGCTCCACCGGAGGGGCCCCAGTGGCAGGTTTCGCATGCCGCCCCACCACCCCTTTCGGCACACCTTCACACGCTTCGTGGCCCATAGGGAGCCTCACCGCAAGGGCCCAGTCGCCCGGTTCGCATGCCTCCACACACCCATTTGGGCCAACCCATCACACGTTTTCGATAGGCCTCATAAGGCGCTCCACGAATGGCCCCAGTGGCAGGGTTCGCTATGCCTCCCACCACCTTTTTCGGCACACCCCTCCACGTTTCGTGGCCCATAGGGAGCTCCCGAAGGCCCCAGTGGCAGGGTTTCCGCATGCCTCCCCACCACCCCTTTCGGCACACCCCTCACACGTTTCGTGGCCCCATAGGCAGTTCCACCGAAGGCCCCAGTGGCTGCGTTCGCATGCCCCCCCACCACCCATTTCGGCACACCCCTCACACGTTTCGTGGCCCCATAGGGAGCTCCACCGAAGGCCCCAGTGGGCAGGGTTCGCATGCTTCCCCACCACCCATTTCGGCACACCCTCACACGTTTCGTGGCCCCATAGGGAGCTCCACCGAAGGCCCCAGTGGCGCGGTGCATATGGGAAGAGAGGCATCGTTTGCGTGCCCCCTCCTTCGTCTCATATCCGCGCGGTACTCGCAGCTGCATATGGTTGGGTCCTTCGCCAGGCTAATGTTCCCAACCATCCTGTGGTGTTGGGTCTTCGTTTTGAAGAGACGGTGCCCCGCGTTCCTCTCCTCCTCCTCCTCCTCCTCCTCCTCCTCCTCCTCCTCGCCCTCCTCCCTCCAGGGTTCGCATGCCTCCCCACCACACATTTCGGCACACCCCTCACACGCTTCGTGGCCCCATAGGGAGCTCCACCGAAGGCCCCAGTGGCAGGGTTCGCATGCCTCCCCACCACCCCCCATTTCGGGCACACCCCTCACACGTTCGTGGCCACATATGGTGCTCCACCGAGGCCCCAGTGGCAGGGTTCGCATGCCTCCCCACCACAAATTTCGGCACACCCGTCGCCAGTTTCGTAGGCCCCATAGGAGCTCCACCGGATGACCCAGTGGCGGGTTCGCGTGCTCCCACACACCATGTCGCACACCCCTCACACGTTTCGTGGCCCCATAGGGAGCTTTTATTGTATGTATCGGAAAGAAGATACTTCCTGTTTTTTTTGTATTTCTATCCTTGTTAAGAGGATTAGGCCCCAGTGCAGGGTTTCGCATGCCCTCCCCACCACCCATTTCGGCACACCCCTCACACGTTTCGTGGCCCCATAAGGGAGCTCCACCGAAGGCCCCAATGGAAGGGTTCGCATGCCGCCCCACCACCCATTTCGGCACACCCCTCACACGTTTCGTGGCCCCATAGGGAGCTCCACCGAAGGCCCCAGTGGCAGGGTTCGCATGCCTCCCCACCACACATGTCGGCACACCCCTCACACGTTTCGTGGCCCCATAGGGAGCTCCACCGAAGGCCCCAGTGGCAGGGTTCGCATGCCTCCCCACCACCAATCTCGGCACACCCCTCACACGTTTCGTGGCCCCATAGGGAGCTCCACCGAAGGCCCCAGTGGCAGGGTTCGCATGCCTCCCAACCACCCATCTCGGCATACACCCATTCACAACGTTTCGGAGGGATCGTGGGTGTCTCCACGAAGCGCCTTCGCGCAGGGGTTCGCATAGCCTCCCACCATACACCCCATTCCGGCACACTCCCCTCAACGGTCGTGGTCCCAATTGGGAGATCCACCGAGGCCCCAGTGGCAGGGTTACGCATGGCGTCCCACCAACCCATTTGGGCACACCCCTCACACGCTTTCGTGGCCCCATAGGGAGCTCAACCGAAAAGGCACCTGTGGTCCTGGGCTTCGCGTGGCTCTCCACACACCATTTTTCGGCACACCCCTCACACGTTTCCGTGGCCCCACTTGGAGCTCCACCGAAGGCCCCAGTGGCAGGGTTCGCATGCCTCCCCAGCACCCATTTCGGCACACCCCTCGCACGCTTCGTGGCCCCATAGGGAGCTCCACCGAAGGCCCCAGTGGCAGGGTTCGCGTGCTCCCCCACCACCCATTTCGGCATACCCCTCAGACGTTTCGTGGCTCCATAGGGAGCTCCACCGAAGGCCCCAATGGCAGGGCTTGCTTGCTTCCCAACCACCCATGTCGGCACACCCCTCACACGTTTCGTGGCCCCATAGGGAGCTCCACCGAAGGCCCCAGTGGCAGGGTTCGCATGCCTCCCCACAATTTATTTCGGCACACCCCTTCATACGCTTCGTGGCCCCATAGGGAGCTCCACCGAAGGCCCCAGTGGCAGGGTTCGCGTGCCTCCCCACCACCCATTTCGGCACACCCCTCACACGTTTCGTGGCCCCATAGGGAGCTCCACCGAAGGCCCCAGTGGCAGAGGTGGGCTCGCATGGTCTCCACTTAGAACCCATATCGGCACAAAAACCATCACCGTTTCGTAGGGCCCCATATAAGGGGGCTCCACCGAAAAGGCCCTAAAGTCGGCAGGGTTGCTGCCTCCCCACCACCCATTTCGGCACACCCCTCACACGTTTCGTGGCCCCATAAGGAGCTCCACCGAAGGCCCCAGTGGCAGGGTTCGCATGCCTCCCCACCACCCATTTCGGCACACCCCTCATACGGTTCGTGGCCCCATAGGGGACTCCACCGAAGGCCCCAGTGGCAGGGTTCGCATGCCTCCCCACCACCCATTTCGGCACACCCCTCACACGTTTCGTGGCCCCATAGGGAGCTCCACCGGTGGCCCCAGTGGCAGGGCTCGAACGCTTCCCCACCACCCATTTCGGCACACACCCCACACGTTTCGCAGCCCCATAGAGAGCTCCACCGAAGGCCCAAGTGGCGCGGTGCTTATGAGAAGAGGGGCATAGTTTGCGTGCCCCCTCCTTCGTCTC